AGAAAAAAGCCAGAAGTGGCGCTGTGGCTCAAGTGGTAGAGCGCTAGCCTTGAGCTGAAGAGCTGAGGGACAGCGCCCAGGCCCAGAGTTCAGGCCTCATGACCAGACCCCTCCCCATAAACAAAAACAAAAACAAATATGAACACAAAAAAATGGCTTGGGGATGGGGCTCAAGTGGTAAGGAGCAGTTGCTTAGCATGTATGAGGGTGAGGGTTCAATGCATAGCACTAGGGGTGGAAAAAAAAAATCAACAAAGGCATCTTACCTCTTGCTTTCCTTTCAAACTGGTAAGCAACACTGGTCGACCTATACAAATATTTGCAGACTTCATAGTGTTGACTCCCAGGTGAACAACAAAATTTTGGAACGCTTTAGGGACTCTGACATCAGCTATGAAGGAAGAACAAATCACTTGAAAACTTTATAAATGAAGGTGTACGTGAAAATGATAAATGAACTTATATCTTGGAGAAACTACAGCTTCAACACTTTTTTAAGGACTTACAAACATAACATTTTATTTCAAGCATATTAGGAAACCATTGATTTTCTTTTTAAAAAAAAAAAGCTTATTGTTATACAGTTATCCAACACTTCCTTTAATGCAATTTACAACCAAATCCCTCCGAGTGTTTCATGACAACATATTAACCACAAAGTGTTAATTTAAAAAAAATAGTATTAACTACAAACTGTTAAGTAAAAAGAAGAAAGTCCTTAATTTCATTAAGAATTAAACATACTTGTGGCAGATTCTGAGTCAGCTACAAGAGTTCACAGGCTTGGACCAGGAGTTGTCACATGACTCTGGCACTAGAGGATTCAGTTAGGTCACCACAGGCCCAGGGGCTACCCCTAAACACTTCCACACCTCCCTATCCGTGGTACTACGTTCCATTTCCCATCCACTCACCTCTCTTCCACTCCAGCGCAGGTGGCCTCCCCGCCCTCCTGGCCCCTCGACCTTCCCGCCCCCGGAGCCTCCCCTCCTCCCCAGGCCTCCCCTCCCCTCAGCCTCCTCGCCCCCGGCCTCCCCGCCCCCGGAGCTTCCCCGCCTCCCCAGGCCTCCCCTCCCCTCAGCCTCCGCGCCCCCGGCCTCCCCGCCCCCGGAGCCTCCCCTCCTCCCCAGGCCTCCCC